AATTAACCTTTTAAGAACTTTCTAGCGATGTATCACATGATGGGGTGCGACCTGCATCATAAGATCGTCATAATGGTGGAGCTGCGTGTCCAAACAACTCCTTCCCGTCTCTACCGGAAAATAGAATACTCCATAGTTCTATTTACATACAATTATCTAATCTAGGTCTTTATATGTTCGTCCTCACTCCTGTTTTTGCTTCTACTTTGTCTTTAAGGAGTCCTTCATGTCTCAGAAGGCGTCCCAATATCCCTTCTGCCTTTTTCCTAATCGACTCCCAATATATAACTTTCTCTATCCACAGTATTTTCATCATCCTCCTACAGCACCACATTTCAAAGCTTAATTAAATCCAATTTTTATTACCTACAATTATCCATTCGTCTTCTTCTTTTTTTGCCGTAGGAAGAAACATCAGTGGTACAAGGTGGATGCATTTATTCACGAATTGCAAATTGCATTTACTTCGTACCGTTTGTAATTGATTGCGGGTTTAACCTTGGGTATGGTATATCAAACCATATCATTTTTAAAAGACATAAAGCGAAACAACAACTCGAGTAGATGTGATGCAGTGCAAAACGTCTGTTAAATATGCTAATTAAATTATCGAAAGCAATAACATAAAAATTAATTAGTTTTCGGTTTTATGAGATAATCGCAGTACCTACTTTATTAATTAATAACATATTTAATAATGTAATTAAAGTTACCCAATTTAATCCACCGAGTGGGAATAAATAGTGTCATTAAATTATAACACACATTATAGCTGACGTATACCGAGAACATGCTTAATAATGGCGAACGAAAATAAAACTAATTTCGAGAGTGCAGTTTTAATAAACTATAAATCAATTCCTCTCTGTATTTGTAATTGTTATTATTTGAATTGGCGTTTTAATTTTAAAACTCCATATCAATGACCAACTTAATTTTTATTTAGTTTAAGTTTAGATAAGGAACTAATTTTTTCAGATTTTTATTAGTAATTAAACACTCTTAATTGTAATTGCTAACTCAATTGGACAATCCATATATATATATATAATACTGGACTTTTTTGCGAGAACCTTCATTTTTANTAAACGAAGTTCTTCGTGGTGTTCCATTTAGGCAACTCCAGAATGAATTTGACTTCGGAACGAAAAGATGATTGGAAGAGGAAGTTCTAGCGGCGATTGAAGCTGCGCTTAGTTACTACTAATTTATGCCTTAAAAATTCCTTAACGAAAACCATGATAGTATTAGTACACGATACATTTAATATGATATAGATTTGTAAATTACGTCAGGCTTTCTAAAAAAGAATTGTTTGTCGTATTAGTTTGAAATGTTGCGATCATCGGGGGTCTTTAAATCTTTAACTTAATTTTACAAATTGATTCATTATGATAAGTGCAGTTTGCAGATAGAATACGTTTATTGACAGTAATGGTACTCAATACTGTCAGGTGCACTGACCACGAAATTTGACGGTTCGGAAAATCCTTGAATCGCGAGCGACTGTAGTGCAGAATTGGTAAACAAACTTGCGGTTAAAAACAACTCTTTCGCCAAGTTTTTCTGAACTTGTAATAATCTTTCACAACACAGGTATCTGTTTACCGCAACCGTCACTTCTATTATTTTGCAGTTTTTAATCGGCATCAGCCTTTGACCCGTAATAAACACACAAAAAATAAAATAAAATTGTGACCCGACATTTCTTTGTGGCAATTTATGCAGTACCGAGAACTGCAGGAATAATAATTTACTCATCTGTCGAAAACAATCTTGTCTTCTATTTGACCTATCATAAAAGTAATAGTTGAATTTTTACAAGTAAATATTCTACAACCACGATCTGTAGATCCAAAAAATTTTAAAGACTTTTGGATTGCTAGAGAGATTTCTTCCACTTGATACAGAGGTTGTAAATACTTTTGGAATTCTACCTTTTTTCTAAGCAAGACAACAGTCGGTTGTTTTTAATTAATGAAGTAATTGTAACAATTTTTTCTAATGGAACTAGAAAAAACCCAGAGATAGATCAGATAAGATACTAAGACTTCTTCATTTAGACAGAAAAGAAAAACAAAAAGTTGGTAATTAAAATTGCTATTACGTTTGCGACAATTAATGCTTTAATATCTGAAACAAAACGCCTTTTTGTTTTCCTTTGTATGCTACTGGCAAATTGCAATAAAAATATCAGATCTCATTGTTTAACTATTTATGATTATGCGATCCTATTGATGATTGATTTAAGTGTCGTAATCGTATCATTGGTCGTTTGTCAATGAACCGAATAAGTCAGTCTTGATCTTCAGACTTAGACTTCGTGCTGCATCTTCTGCAAAGTCAAAAGCACAAGACTGATGTGCTAGGTAGATTCGAAACCGAAACTACAAGAGAACCACAGATGTCATCCGTCATTAACTGGGTGCAAAAGTAATGTCGAAAGGTAATATATCTTCACTTATCCAACTATTATATAGAAAACGAGTCATTGAGGGGACAACGAACATAGGATATACTAGTAATATTCTTAAATTTATTTAGCTAAAAAGCAAATAGAAGTAATAATTTGTTTACAATCCTTCATACCATGGTGGATGAAGGAGAATGAGGAAATAGATCTTGAAATCTTCATTTCTAGGTTCTTTTTGTGCCGCGTTTTTAGGTGTGCCGATCATAAAAATCATGCTGATGTATGGATGAAGCAAAAACTCAATTGCTTAGTTGCAAACTTATTTGAGTAACTATATTGTTGCTCCTAAGCTTAATTGCTTCCAACATTGTCCATGTAAATAAGAGAACAAAGTTATTATAATTATTTTACCCGTATAATCAGAATTTAAAATTATTGGGTTGATTATGAGGACGTCGATGGTAGATCTGAGGGTTCTACGATATTAAGTACCTATATTCCCAGGGGATTTGCTCAAAGATCATATAGAGATAGTTTTAAGTTAGATTGTGTTTATCGTTTTATCGCGTAACCCCACTTGAAGTTGTTTTTAGCTAATTGGACTGAAAGATATTTGGAAGGAAGGACGAGGTTCACTATGAATGAATTTTGAGACTGCTGATAGAGATTAGAGATTTCAAATTGCACCAAGTTGATCTATCTATAAAAAAGGAAAGATGCAATTACATTTGATTTAGGAAATGACATTTATTCAGGTCTGTCTTAATGATCACATCAATGTCAAACGATGCAAACTAAGTGTATAAGGATAAATTATAAAGTTTGATTTCGGATTACTATATCATTTTGAACTAAATCGATTTTTGTGGGATTAAAGTTGGGCTTAGTTGATAAAGTGAAATAGAGGTTTTGATTTATGGGAACCTGTTCTATGACCGCATCACCATCAACTTTTTGTAAATCATAATTTTTGACTGAAGAATTGTATTATCTCGAACTACTTAATAGAATTTGATAAATGAAGTTCTTCGTGGTGTTCCATTTAGGCAACTCCGGAATGAATTTGACTTCGGAACGAAAAGATGATTGGAAGAGGAAGTTCTAGCGGCGATTGAAGCTGCGCTTAGTTGATGTAGTGGAACAGAGGTTTTAAATTATGGAAACCTATTTTGTAATCATATCATCATGATCAAGGATTGAACCTTTTGTAAACCATAAATTTTGACATTGAACTCGAACTATTTAACTGGATTTGATAAACGGAGTTCTTCGTGGTGTTCCATTTAGGCAACTCCAGAATGAATTTGACTTCGGAACGAAAAGATGATTGGAAGAGGAAGTTCTAGCGGCGATTGAAGCTGCGCTTAGTTAATATAGTGAAATAGAGGTTTTAAGTTATGGACACCTATTTTATGGCCATATCATCATGATCAAGGGCTCAACTTTTTGTAAATCATAAATTTTGACTTTGATTTCGAACTACTTAAGTGGATTTGACAGACGAAGTTCGTCTTGGTGTTCCATGAATAACTCTGGAAAGAATTCGACTTCAGACCGAAATGAAGATTAGATGAGGAAGTTCTGGTGGAGATTGAAGCTGCGCTTAGTCGATATAGTGAAATAGAGGTTTTGATTTATGGAAACCTAATCTATCATGATCAAGGATTGAGCTTTTTGTAAACCATAAATTTTGACTTTGATTTCGAACTACTTAAGTGGATTTGACAGACGAAGTTCGTCTTGGTGTTCCATGAATAACTCTGGAAAGAATTCGACTTCAGACCGAAATGAAGATTGGATGAGGAAGTTCTGGTGGCGATTGAAGCTGCGCTTAGTCGATATAGTGAAATAGAGGTTTTGATTTATGGAAACCTAATCTATCATGATCAAGGATTGAGCTTTTTGTAAACCATAAATTTTGACTTTGATCTCGAACTACTTAACTGGATTTGACAAACGAAGTTTGTCGTGGTGTTCCATTTAGGCAACTCCAGAAAGAATTCGACTTCGGAACAAATGGAGGATTGGACGAGGAAGTTTTGGCGGCGCGAAGGTAACCAAAAAAGAAGAATCGATCGGGAACTGTGTCAAATTTCGTTGCATGGTCAAAGGCGATGTCGGTGTCGGCGTAAAGTTCGGTCTGGTGACAGGTTGATCGCAGTTGGTGAACTTGAAGTCACAGAGGCCCAACAGCAGCAGCGGCGGCCGAAGTGTCGGACGTCGTTGTCATCGTCATCGACGCCGTCGTCGATGTCGGCACGTTGTCGTCGTTATAAAAGTCGACATCGTCTCCGACGCGAGTCGCTCTCTGCCACCGTCGTTGCCGCCGATGCCGCTGCTGGCGCTTTTTTGTGATAATGTGTGATATTGATTCGGGTGCAACGGGGCCGGCGCATGCACGTGCATGCTGCTGCCACGACTGGTGGGTGGGTGTCGGCGGGCGCGAGGGACGCAGGGGGGGACGCAGCGATGCAGCTAGACTTTGGCGGGTCGGAGGGGGCGGACGTGAACGTACGGACTACGAAACGGACACCGTCGCAACGACGGCGGCAACATCGCGTCTCGCTGGTGCTGCTGCTGCTGCTTTTGCCTGCCGCTTTGGTCGCCAGCCTGCTTGCTTGTTCTTCATCTCGCGAGATCGCACCGACCGAAACGACGACGGCGAGCGGGAGTCTCTCTTTTTCTTCGCGGTGCAACAAACACACACACACACACATACATACATACACATTCGTGGAACATACATACATACACACACACACACACTGTTAAACACACACGTATACGTATTCACCCATCATCGTCGAAAGCACGCACGACGTCGTCTTCTAGTCTTGTACTCCGAGCCTAAAGAAAAACAGTGTGCAAGTTATTAGTGAGCGTCGCCTTTTCCAACACGTATTGGCAACAATTGTTATTCGAAAAACAAAAAAAAAAACAAAAAAACTCGGGATAAATGGATCAAGCGCGGCGCGTCGTTTGTTGCCGATTGTTGTCGCTGTTGCTATCATCGTCATCGCCTTGGCGCGAACGCTATGTGATTGTGCGTGTGGTGACGAATTCGCGCCGCCAATGCCGACCCTGTTCGTCGTTGTTATCAGTGCGTTAGTAATTTAGTGAGAACCCTGGTCGCAGTAGTATCTATCTATCTAGCAACAATAATGGCTATCAACTTTTCCGCCTCGTTCGCCGCCTGTTTGGCCGCGGGCCTTAAGGTGCCCCGCCAAATTATGTACTGCATTTCGCAAGGTGAGAAACGAAAAATGTAAAAATGAAAGAAAACTGCCAGCGCGACCCTGGCGATAACAGTATAATGGTCAGGGACGTCTTCTGTCTCCTCGTTCTCTTCTGTCCTGTCCTGTATTCTGTATTGTACTAGTTTCAAAACACGTGCTCCAAGTCTCAAATGTCGCCGTCGTGGCCTTTGTTTTGTGAACCTCGAAGTCCGAAAGTTGCAATGGCAGGGTTGCAATTGTCTATTGTCCTGCGCGTTAAGGAGCTCGTTCAAGATGCACTTCGTCTCGATGCATTTTTATTGGAGTCAGAAAATATATTTATGAGTGGTGTATCTCATGTTCTAATACAATCTCTCTACCAAGTGATGGTATGGTCATAAATGTAATTGACAAAGGATTAATTTACTTTTAATTCAGAATTCGGTTTCGTGTAGGAATTGCTCATTTGCAGACACTGACTTTTACAGATTTATACTTTACGAAGTACCTATTGTATTTTCAATAAGCTTATCTAGCTTTTATAGTTTTAGGTCTTCCCATTGCATTCGATACAATTCCTTTTAAAATTAAACGAATCAAACGATACGAGAAGCCAAGGATTACTATAGTCCAAACGTCTGTTTTGAGTAAAAATATTCTTTAAATATGAACGAATGTTTTCTTGCTTAGACCAGTATATAATTTCGATTAAATACGTAACTTTATTCATAAAGAACAACAATTTAAAATAAGTGGTGCCAGGCTCCTCCACCATTAATCATGAAAATTATGTAGTCTTCTTTTCTAAATTGCTGAAATCTGGTCTATTCATTTCTCCTAATTCTAAATGATTTTCCTCTAGGCAGATAATTTGAGCCAATGAAGAGTTACTAAACAATTACTAAATTATCTCTGATACTTGGAAGGACACCTTTGGAGTTGAAATGTGTATATTAGATTTCTAAACTGAAATTGGCAAGGATCTTTCGTATTGAATCCAGAACGTTTTGAGTTCTTGCAACTTCATATTAACAATGAAGTTAAAACTGCAAGATATTTAATGACTAAAGATCATCAGTGGAAGAAATACTGACCAAAACCCAAAACAGTTTTATTTACCATTACGACTAAATGTCTCTGGATCTTTTTATCGGTTTTACAAAGTTACAAGTTTGTCATGTCTGGCGTAGACGGATAACGAAACACGTGACAAAGTTTCCTTTCTGACGACATGCAGTGCCTTTTGGTCATAACCTTTGTTCAGTGATCGTTATCGTCCAAAAGTTTATGCAACGGCAACGATGCAAGCGATGCCGTTCGGTTTGCGCATGTGTTTCCATTCACTCCAACCGACTTACACCGGAATTTTCTTGATGCGAATGCATTTTTCACGAAGGAAAATCTAATTTTATTAGCGGTTTACTTTTTCGGTCGCATAGCGAACGATATTTTCTTCTCGCAATTCACCATTCAGCTTATTGTGGAAATACATTATTATCAGTCAATTTTATATTAACGTTAGGGTGACTTTTTTAAAGGGTCTACATAATTACCTAGCCATCTCTTTGCGTCGAGTGGTAGAATCCTATTGAGTTTTCAATTTTTGTAAAATTGTATTCTATACATAACTGAACCGAAGTCTTTAAAAAACTTAGACTGAAAAGGAATTGTCGTAAAGACTTCTTTCCAATTTTATAATTATTAAAGAACGATCGGGTTTTTTTAATGAATATTGCTTTAAAAAGCATTAAAAATGCCTCAGTATTCATCAGTATTCGTTATCTTCCAAAACCTATCTAGACCATATACTCATTAACCCTCTACAATGAAACGGTTATTCTCTATAACGAAGAAGAAAATTTTATTGGTCTTCAAAATTCTGTTGTTTTTTCATATATATCATCCAGTATAATCAAAACTGTCTACATATAACGAATGAAACTGTTAGGTCTCTTCAGTTATTGAAAGTTACTTCATTGCTTCATTATCATCATCACAAGGTTGTGAAACTGGAGACTGGAAACTCGAAAACTTAAACAATTCACTTCGGAAACTACTCATAAATAATAAATATCTAACTCCCTCTCTTTACTCCTGTTTCTGCTTTTAATTCGTCTCACCCCAATCATCCTAATACCTTTCCTATTTCTTACTGATTTCCATATTGCCGTCTGTTCTTTTTCATTTCCTAAAACCTCCTGATTTTTAACTTTTCCTATCAGTCCTATTTTCATCGTCTCCCAAATATAAAAACACATAAGTTTGAAATTGCAGAATCACTTCATTTTTATAAATATTTTTTTTTTTTGAATGAAGAAAATACTTGACAAGTTTTCGAAAGGTTTATACCAACTTTGATAATTGTCAGAGATGAAATAAACAATTTGAATCTTGCGAAGTTATAAACAGATTTATTGTTGGATACATTGAAAAATTAATTAATAAAAATATTTTTTAAAAAATTTGAATAATTAAAAAGTTATTGCATCAAACTTGAAGGTGTTTTCTTATTTGGATAGATAGTAATAACATTGCAGGTGATCTAGGTACTTAACATCACAAAGAGTCATGTTTGGTAATTATATCTAATGAGAGGTAGATATTAAGCTAATTAATATCTGTTTGTTCTTTATGGGTACATTGAGATAGTGACGAATTGTATAAAAAGTTTAATTGTTGGTGATTATTCAACCTATAAACAAATGAACATACGCTGTTTAAATATATACAGGGTGAATGAAGCATAGTTTCTCGTGGCCCATTTATTAGCGACATTAATTTTCTAGCTTTGAACAGTTGTTTTATTATTAAAGTTGCTTTTAATATTATTATGAGTAACTTGTCTACAATAGAACTAAACAAATACACGTCTAGACTGAACAATCGTCAGAAACTTCGTCGTCTATAAATTATTAGACGAATTGGGTACTTTTCGACTTTTATATTAAACTGCAGTCACCAAAACTGCACGAAACTCCATCGCACGGCGCATGTTTTATTTTTATTGATTTCCAAGGTATGCACATTAAGACCACCACAGGAATAAGGTTGTCCTAAGTGATGAGGTCAAAATTAAAAAAAATATCATTTACTGCCTAAATAAATGGTAGTTAATGCTGTTGCCATTTGATTCGTTCAAAGGATTTCTTTACATTCTTCTGGAGACTCTTAACTATTTACCAAAAGTTGTGCTTTAAGCTTTGAAGTCGTTTAGAAACTACATGGTGTAAATCTTTGACTGTCTCTTCCTGTGACCTTTTGTCACAGGTTTCCACAATCTAGTGACCCATTTCCTACTACATCGTTCATAAAATTTGTTTTTGAGATGAAATTGAGTTTCTTTTGGTTTTTCCTGGGTGTCAAGTTTCTTTTAATAGGAAGTCGGTTAACGTAGCATAGGGTCAAGTCGCATTTAAGAAAAGGAATCACTACTTCAAAAATTTTGCACGTATTTTGTATACTATTTCTTGATAGTTCATTTGGTATTGACTTGAGACGCAGGATAAGGTCCAATTGCTCTGTGTTAGCTAGATTGCCGGACGTACCCGTCGTCATCTTTTAAGTAAGTGTGGTTCGCTCAATTAAGGATGTGGCTTCTTCGTCTTCATCTGTTGATTCTCAAATATAATCGTGTTAATATAGTCCATTTGGTTACAGATTCTTTTTATGATCATTTAGAGGCACTTCAGAATTTCTTCTTCTTTTAAATTCATCATGTTCCTTCAGTCGATTAGTAAATTCGTTACTGTTTTTGTGACTACTATATTCCTAATAAGTATGAAAATTTATAATTCTCTTAATTCACTCCAACCTTCTCAGGCAATGAAGGTCTAATCAGAGACATATTAGAGGCAGAAAAGGGAGTTAGGAGGGGTAGAGGTAGACCTTGATTAGATTACTGTTCGCAAATAGTTAAGGATGTGGGTTGTTCTAGTTTCAGGGAAATGCGAAGATTAGCTCAGGATAGAATACAGTGGAGGTGCGTGTTCAACCAGTCTTAGGACTGACGACATTATGGATGATGATGAATTCATTCCAAAGAAAAAAAATATTTTAGGCCCAAAATTATTGGACGTATAAGTGGAGATAAAAATTGATAGTTTTAGGTATGTTTTCTTCGGAATTACAAATGCGAGAGCTTTTTTGTCATAATATATGCCTTATCTATATGAATAATTCCAAATTTTCCGGATTGCTTATAATAAAGGAGAAGGAGGTAGGTAATCGCCGTTTGTTACACAGTTTGTTGTGGCGACCCTAACGGTCTGGCTGCCAGGGGCTTCTAACTTCTAATCAAAATGAGACATTTTCAAAACATAAGGCGGCAACATGTGCATCACTTTCACCAGTACCTTATGGTAAATCGTGTTGGGTGTTATTAATAATTTGAACAAATATAGTTGCATTCTTATTTATAACACGATGCGCATTTAACGCTAATCTTGGCAATAACAAGAGAAATTGTCTTAAGTAATTCCAATGAAAAATGTACATCTTATAATAATAAAAGATATCGCGCTATTTTTAAACAGTGAATAATTATGCAAGTGACCCCTAACTCGATCGTCAAATATATGCAATGCAATCAATTATGTCTGCATTATGTGCACAGTCTGATAAATTTGTTAGTAAACAAGCCTTCAAGGTTAAATTTTCTTCAATCGTTCTTTTCATTTTCTTTTTAATTGCCGTTTCGACCCTTGGCTAAAAATCGACATCACATATTCGAAGTAAAATTTTCGACGAAAGTCAAATAACTGATTGGTTCCTGATCTTTTCCCACAAGAAATGATACTACCTGCAGATTGAGTTCCAAAGGCAACTCACGCAAAATTTGGACATTTGGACCAAAGAAATGAATAAAGAATGAGTAAGGTCATGCCAAGGCGGTCATTATCGTCGTCAGCCCTAAGACTGGTTGGACAAAAACAAAAAAAACTTTTGGTTGTTTCATTTCCACCAGCCAGTCCCTCCGGACTATGCCGGAAGGTAGGGCGGAAGGCCCTCTTCAGCCTGCTTTCAGGAATCGTGGGA